GAGGAAGATGAATCTGGCAGAATGAGTGGGTTAGATTTGAAAAGGGGGAGAGACTAGTGGTAGGGAGAATTGAGAAATGATTGTATCTAAAAATGATTGCATCTAATGAATTTTCAGCAGCGATATACAATATGAATATATGGTAAAGAAGAAAAGTGCTGCATTTGGAGTCAGAGGTTCTAAGTTCAAATTCTGGGTGTGTCACTTGTTTGACTTTGGGCGAGGACCTTAACCTCTCTGGGCATCAATTTCTTCACCAATTAAATTTGAAGGTTGAACTAGGTTTCTTCTAAGGTCCCTTCCAGTTTTCAACTTATGATCCGATGGATGCTTTGGGCAAAATCCCAAATGTTTCTTCTCTACAGGGCTGAGTTCCCTCAGTGCCAGTGATAACTTATTCTAATGGGATAATACAACTTCTCCCAATACGACTGGATAACTCTTAAGTGCCAAGGCCTTTTCCTTGAATTCTCTTCTGGTTCTTTGTTTCTCAGACAAAACAAAAAACAGAAAACAAAAACAGAAAAACCCCATAGCTCTCTTAAGACCTAAGAGCAACCAGGAAAACTTCCTATTTATCCCAGGAACAACTTCAACAACAATTCCACAAACCCTTGATATAATACTGTCTCTTCTTTCATTGCCAAGATTGATTTCCTTTGGAGAAAAGACCGGATTTGTGGGACCTATCTGTAGCTACAATATTATTATATACTCCCAGTGATCAACTCCTTTCCTGCTGCCTCCAAACACAACCATATCGCCCCATTCTTAAAAAAAAAAAATCCCTGACTTTGTCTGCCACCTATGCTAACTCTCATCTGATATTTCTCCTCTCCTTCTCAGCTAACTTCTTTGAGAAAGCTGTCTACCTGAGGTGATTCCACTTTCTTCACTTTCTTTTAAGCCTTCTGTATTCTGACTTCAAAACTCATAATTGAACTGAAACTGCCTTTTCCGAGTCACCAATGATCCCTTAATTTCCAAATCTAATGGCCTTTTCTTCGTACTCATTATTCTTGACCTCTCTGCAAACTTTGACACTGTTAATCACTTCCTTCTTCTGGATAATCTCTCCCCTTTAGGTTGGTGTGACACTAGTCTTTCCTAATTCTCCTCCTGCCTATCTGACCACTCCTCTCAGTTGCCTTTTCTGGATCTTCATCCAGGCCATGCCCACTAATCTGAGCATTTTTGAAGGCTCTGTCCTGGGCCCTTTTCTCTTCTATACTATCTCTCTTGATGATCTTCTTAACTCCCATAGGTCTAGTTATCGTATCTACACACAATTCCCAGATCTATACATTCAGCTCTAGTTTCTCTCCTGAACTCCCCTGACATATCACCAACTACCTTTTGGACATCTTGAACCACTTGTCCCCTTTGCATCTCTAACTCAACACATCTAAGACAGAATTCATTCTCTTTTCTCCCAAGCCTTCCCCTTTTCTAAATTTTCCCATCATTCTCTCAAACCATCTGGGAGCATCTTGCTGTGGTTCCATATTCTACTGGGAATCCACAGGGTCCTCTGTCTCATCAGGTGATGATTCATTTTCCTTTGTCTTACCTATATCTATATTCATTTAGATGATCTGAGGACCATATTTCCTTTTGTTATTGATCTCTTCCCCATTGATTTATCTGCTTGTGTTCAAGGTCTTTAATTGAGTTTCCTTCCTCCTGCGAGCTTTGGTAATTTGTCTTTTTCCACATTATATTCCTTTATTGCTTACTTTCTGATTCCTCCTTTTTTGAAAGAAGTGTCCTCAGGAGCTAAATGAACCTTAATTCTATCTATACTCCAAGTGGCTTCTGAGGGTGCAGAGCTGGCCACAGCTGGATGCCAGTTCCCTTTTATCAGGCCTAGTGAAACCTCCCACACACTTGTTCCCTGTCCCACTTCCCTCTATTCCTCAGTTCTTTGGCTGAATTCTACGGTTCTAGCCAGACTAAACTTTTGACTTTTGGCTTTCTATGGCATGAGGGAGAGGTAGGGCAGAAATGAGTTGTCTTGCAAGCCTGTGGGTCAACTTGTACATCCATGCCAGAGCATGGCAGCCTATAGGGAAGGAGCTGCTGAGTTAGTGATTATTAGTCTTCTCTGCTGTTAACTCATTGAGTTACTTCATTTAGGTTCTCAGCATCTTAGCTGAAATAGCTTTATCTTTTGCATATATATCCTGTTTTGGAGAGGATTAAAGAAAGTGTCTAGTCCTCCGTCTTGATCATGTGATCAAGAAGTAACCCCCATTTACTAACAAGGGTGACGCCATACTCCCAGTCATCTAGGCTTGCAACCTCATGCTCATTCTCAGTTCACCTTACGTATCCAATCCATTGTCAAACTTTGGCTTTTTTTTTTAAACTTTTATAGGGAACATCTCTCATATACATGTCTTTCTCTCCACTAACACAAGTCATTACCCAAGCAAGGATCCTCATCATCTCTCATTGAGACTATTGTAGTAGCCCTCTAAGTAGTCTTTGTCTCAAATTCTCTCTCTAATCAATTCTTCACTCAGTTACCAACCTGATTTTCCCAAAACCATGTCTCCTCCCCCCACTTCCAATTCAGTAAACTTCAGTGGTTCTCTGTTAACTCCAAGGTCAAATATTTGTTGTTCGGTTGTTTTTCGGTCATGTCCCACTCTTTAAACCCATTTGGAATTTTCTTGGCAAAGGTATTGGAATTGTTTACCATTTCCTTCTCCTTAGCTCATTTTACAGATGAGGAAACAGAGGCAAACAGGGTGAAATGATTTGGCCAGGGTCACACAGCTACTGTCTGAGGCCAGGTTTCAACTCAGAAAGACTCATGTCCATGCTTGGCACTCTATCCAGTGCACCCCTAGCTGCCCCCCACTGTCAAATATAAAGTCCTCTATTTGGCATTTAAAGCCCTTCATGACTTTCTTGCCTTTCCAGTCTTTGTCCCCTCCATGTTCTCTGTGTTCCAGCTACACTGGCCCATTGGCTATTATTTACACATGATACAGTTTCCCGACTCCATGCTTTTGCAGAGGTTTTCACCTGTGCTTGGAGTGCTCTCCCTCCTTATTTCTGCCTTTTAACTTCCATTAGATTCCCTTACAGCTCAGCTAGAATCCTTTTTTTTTTTTGCAAGAGGCCTTTTCCTCCCCTACCTTTCCTCAGAGATTATCTTTCTTCCACTCTGTATATGTTTTGCACACATATAGTTATTTGCATGTTATTTCCCCACTAGAATATAATCTCCTTGGGGTTAGGAATAATGTTTTGCCTCTTCCTTTATACCTAGTGTTTAGCATAGTGAGGATTTACCAAATGTTTGTTTACCAATTTACCAACTGTGGAAAGAATGAACGTGGCCCATGGAATTCCCTAAGAATTTAGGGAGATTTAACAAGGATGTCAGAAAAGGCATGACCCTTATCCATGTATATCCTCTGAAATACAGAAGTTACTGGGTTTTTATTTGTTAGTTTATTTCATTAAATTTTGTGAGTATTTTTTTCAACTAACAATAATTAATTTTCTTTCCCTCTAGTATTGGGGCGGGGGGAGAAAAACTAAACCATTGCAACGAATATTCGTAGTCAAGCAAAACAGATTCCTATATTGGCCATGTCCAAAACATATACTTCTTATTCTGCTCCTTGAGTCCATGCCAATCTGTCAGAAGGTAGATAGCAATGTTATTTGGTTTATCAGTATCTCCATGGACACAGGGAAATGACACATTTTCCCCAAGCAAACCAGAACAACAGGAGGAATTAACACTCAACATGCTAAGCCACTTAAACAGGGGGGTGCTTCTTACAAATTTAGAAGATTAGTGAGTATCATATATAAGTGAAGTTGTTTTTATTGTGGCACATTGGAGGGCTAGCTCAAAACTTACCTCTTGTATGAATTTTTTACTGACTTCTTTAGATGGTCCTCTTTGAAGTCCACAGTTCTATAGCATTTGCTGCCTGACTGTCTCAGATGGTCAGGTATGTTCTTGGGGATCAGAGCTGAGGCAAGGAATGTACTTCCAAATTCAGTGTTTGACAGGTCATCTCAAGCTGTGATGCTCAATAATGGGTAAAGGAAACATGCAGGGACATTTCTGCCACACAATCACTTCCAAATCCCACTATCCCTTAACTCTGGGTTACACAGCAGCAGAGGTATCCTTTGAGTATTCATGATCAAGGAGATGCAGAGATGTGCAGTTTGGGTCCAGCTGCCCTGTTTTAAGGAGACCTAGGAATGAATTCTCAGGCTCAAGCTTTTTATATAACAAGAAAACATAAATCAGAGCAAAGGTATCAATCAATTCCCAGCATTGATGAATGAGCCAGGAGGGATGAAGGGATCAAGGCTGTACAAATCACTACAAAGGAACCAAGTACAGTAACACCTGGATGATTTAAACACAGGAAGAAAGGGCAAGAAAGCAGTAATTCAAAACCTCCCAAGAGTGATACTCTGGCACAAACAGATTGCATAAACCCCCCAAGGTCTGTGCTGGGTGAGTCCTCTGGGTCAATGGGCACACAATTTAGCACTTAATTATAACCTGTCTGTAACTGTTTCATATGTATCAGCCGTGGATTTCCGTTTCAGTAGGAGGTCATTGAATATTTCTTTTTATCCTTTCTATCACTAAGCACATGGGGCCGCTAGGTGGTACAATGGTTAGAGCACTGGGATTGGAAAAGGGAAGACTCATCTTCTTGAGTTCAAATCTGGCCTCAGACACTTACTAGCTATGTGACTCTGGGTAAGTCACTTAACTCTGTTTGCCTCAGTTTCCTCATCTATGAAATGACTGGAGAAGAAAATGGCAAACCATTCCAGTACCTTTGCCAAGAAAATCCCAAATAGGGTCACAAAGAGTTGGACACAACTGAACAGCAACAGCACTAAGCACAGGGCATAGCCTGACATAGGTACTCATATATTTCACTGTATTATAGTAAAGGCTAATGTGGGCTGTGTTCATTTTTACTGATCCATCTGCTTTTTTCCAGGCAACACATTCAGCACTTTGGCTGGGCTGGTTTTTGATTGGACAATAGTAAAGGATACAGAAGCTGATGGTTTCTCAGACTCTCATAATGCACTCAGGTAAGCAATTTTTGCGTGGTTTTCTTTTTTTTTTTAAGAGAGAAAGTAAATTTTATTTGATCAGAATCAAGCATTAGACTAATTTTGCCATGTTGATCCCCAGCAATAAGGACATCGTGGAATGAATTTGTTATACACTCTTCACTTTTCTCAGGGTATTTTGACACCATTTCCTTTGTTGAGAATGCACTGAGGTGGATTGTTTTTTTAGAACCTTGTCTTTTCTTAGTTGGCTTTTGCATAACAATTTTTTTTTTAAATTCTCCCTTACTGGTGCCTTCTCTCTGAGGATGTCCTTTAATTTGCATCTTGTTTATGTAGCTGTTTGCACATTGTCTCCCCTCGTTAGACTGTAAGCTCTTTGAGGGCAGGGACTCCTTTTCTATGCTTAGTGCTTAGCACAGTGCCTGGTGCATAGCAAGCAAATCATCAAAGCTAGATCACTGATGGACATTTTTATAGGCCTTTAAGGTCACAAGCACTTGCTGTTGATCCTTTGACAACCCTGTGAGGTAGGTGCTGTCATTCCCATCCCCATTTTCCATGAAAGAACTGAGGCCCAGAGAATGGAAGTGACTTGCCCAAGGTTACAAAGCTAGCAAGTATCTGAGGTGAGATTTAAAACTAGATCTTTTAAATTTAATCCTGTGCTCTTTAGAGTGCCAGCCCTGGAGTTAGAAGGACCTGAGTTCAAATCCGGCCTCAGATACTTACTAGCACTATGACCCCGGGCAAGTCACTTAACCCAATTTGCCTTAGTTTCCTCATCTGTAAAATGATCTGGAGAAGGAAATGACAAACCACTCCAGTATCTTTGCCAAGAAAACCTTAAATAGGGTCATGAAGAGTCGTACATGACTTAAACTACTGAACCACAACAAGAACACTTATTCTCTTATGAAGGGTTACAGAGAAGGGTTCAGCTAGAGTTTTAGCTAGAATTATATAATAATAAAGGCAGGTTACATCATCATCGCTAACATTAATATAGCACATTAAAACTTATATTTTCTACATAGATTCTCATTTTATCCTTACAGCACCTCTGAGGACTTAGTAAAAATATTATTACTCCCATTATGCAGATAAAGAAACTGAGGCTCAGAAAGGTCATTGAATCATGTGGCTAGAGATTCAGAGCTAGCATGGGCTCCAGAGATCTTCTTAGTAAAGGGACTTACCCATGGTCACAGGGTCAATAAGTGGTAGATGTGGCCTTCCGACTGAAGTTCTCTACTTTAGGACCAATGGATTTTTTTCTGACCTGTGGTGTCTCTCTCAAAAGAGTTTTGTTGTTTTTGCATCATGATAGGGTTATTATTTAAATTCCAAAGGTGCTTTAAAAATATAGACTTGGTCTTTAACATAGTCCAGAAATGTATTCGTTTATTTTTAGTGTTAAAATAGTGTTAGCTTATCCAAAATATGGTTTGCTGGATAACTGTCTTTGAAGAAAGCCTTTCGCTTTTCCACATCTGATTGGTACAGATTTCCCAGATGTTAATACCCAATCTAGGGCTATCAGTAAATTCTCTTTCCCTTCTAGCATCAAGCATAGTTCTGGGGTCAAAGGTTTTGACCTGTCTTGTACTCAGTGCTCTGCTGTCTGGCACCTAGAGACATTGAGGTCTAGCGAGAAGAGTACTAGCCCTAGCAAGAGAAACTCAAGATTAAATTTCACTTCTTGACACTCATTGTATGATCTTGGGCAAGTCAGTTAAACGCTCTGAGCCCCCATTTCTTCACCTTTAAAATGGAGATGACAATACCCGTTCTTAACCTCACAGGCTTTTCATGAGGCTCAAATGATATAATGTGTATAACATGCTTTACAAATGTCAAAGTGCTAGGTCAATGCCAGTTATTAGTGTTATTATTCCCATGTCCCATGAATCAATGCTACCATGCAGATATCCAAAATACCATCATCCACTTTCTCTTTCTGTCCCCTTGATATACACGCAGAAGTTCAAATGCGCTTTGTATAGGTTTGTATTTGTTATTGTTATTGTTCAGTCATTTCAGTCGTGTCTAATTCTTAATTTGGAGTTTTCTTGGCAAAGATACTCATTTCCTTCTCCAGTTAATTTTACAGATGAAGAAACTGAGGCAAACAGGCTTAAAAAATTAATTAATTAATTTAAAAAATTGTCTAAGGTCACACAGGTAGTCCATGTCAGAGGTTACATTTGAACTCAGGACCTCCTGACTCCAAGCCCAGTGTTCTATCCACTGTGGATAGAACCCAGATAGGTTTGTCTGGGATCATATTTTTAGAGCTGGAAGGGATCATGAGATTCAACCCCTTCATCTTTATGGATGTGATAACCGAGACACAAAGTTTGTCCAAGATCACATACGTGATAAATGGCATTGCCAGATTTGAATTGGGCATTGTCTTCTCTGCACCATATTTTCCTTTATATAAACAGCATGAAGAAGTATGCTTCATGAAGCCTTTGTCCCTACTCCTAGCTGCTGGGACCTTCCCTTCCCAAAGAACCTCATTTCCATTGTGTATATGTTCTGTATATAATTGAATATGTAAATGTTTTCTCCCCCTTTAGAATGTAAGCTTATTTTTGTCTTTACATTCCAAGCACTGGTACATTATGGGTGCTTAATAAATGTTTATTTGTAGATTAATTAAAAGGAATATTAATACGAAAAAAATTATCTCATCCAAACCACAACTGACTGATGTTATTAAGCTTATCGCATCTACACCAGTTTTTTGTTATTTTTCCCTCCAAATCCCATGGGCTTTTGTAGCCCAAGCTCAGACTTTGACCTCATAGTAGTAGCCAATGTTCTAATTGGGACCTGGCACCTCTGAGCCTGATTCGTATTTTCTTAGATCCCTTGAATCTAAAATTTACATGATTCTTCTCCTTAGAACCGCTTGTCTTAGATTGATTCAGTCCAACTTCTAACCCTCCCTGAAGTTTTTCTGTTGGCAAGTTTTAAAATCCATGCTCCATTGTTTTAACATGTAATTGGGGAAAAAATAAAATGTCATATGTGTGTGTGTGTCTGTACACACACACACACACACACACACACACACACACACAATTTTACAGAAATCTGTGTTCCAATCCCAACCAATCAGGAGGCTTTATGATGTTAGGCCTGGTAACATAGATCTTTTCACAACCTCTGAGGTCATCCCTGACTAATGGATGATTGTAGCAGGCACTCTTCCCACTGCTGGGAAATTAATGAAACTCTGTGCCAATCTTTATCTCCAAATTCACAAAGGCATCCCATTTCATCATTTTGTCACCTTTTCTCACCCCTGCCTGTTGGGATTCTTTTCCTTCCTCAAAGGAAGTGTAGGATTTATCATAAGGATACTCCTCAATATCACATCAGTGCTTCTCTAGGATGCCTAAAATGTACTGGCGGACTTTGATGGTGTTTGGGGGACAGAAATAAAGCAGAAGTGACATGGTTGTTCATACTGAGTGACTTTATTGCAGGAAATTCATTAATCCACAATGGGTCTTGAGCCCAATTTCTCAATTTCGATTCCCATTCTTCGTATTTTCCTTTTTTCTCTGTAAAGAACAAAATGAAGACTGTGAGTACAGGTGGAGAAATGGATTTGGAGTCAGAGGACTTAGGTTCAAACTCCCACCTCTGTTGTTTACTGTTTGTGTGACCTTGGGTAAGGAGACAACCTCTCTGGGCCTCTAAATGTCCCTATGATCCCCTGCAGTTCTATATCTATGATCTTATAATATTGGTAAGGGTTATTTTGATTTCAGCAAGGCATTTGACAGAGTTTCTCTTGATAGACTTAATTAAATTATAAATTAACAAAAATAAAATAAAT